ATGAGGTGAGGCGCCTCGCCTCAGCTTGGGCCGTTGTTGTCCTTATGCTGTAATTGGCCTAAATCTACCTCGAGTGAAAAGTATTACCGATCTCAAAAATTGTTATTGTTTTGCAAAATCCGAGCGAAGTTTCAAAAGGGTCAGGACCCTCATTGAAGCCCCATGATATTTTAAACCCAGGGTGCAAATAGCATGGGGTCCTTATAGACTCAACGATGGTTCTGCCATGACTATGGGAACCCCACATTATTTATACCCCGGGGTACAAATATCATGGGTTTCCTTTCGGCTCAAATGAGGGTCCCCGATCCTTTAGGCGTTCCGTATGATTTGTGTCCACTTCTAAAATTCACGTAGTATGGGAACGACCACGGACCCGGACCGGACCGCGTCCCGCACGCAAGCAGGTCCAGGAACCGCCTGCCCGCGAGCTATCGTGACGGCGGCTGAGGTGGTTAGAGATAGAGAGCGAGAGAGAGCGAGCGAGAGAGGATGCTCTTTTCGGCGGTGACGACCGGGCACCGTAATTTTACCGCAGTGAGTCACACAGAGACTGTGGCTGTGTCGCCGCTCGGGTGCAATATTTGCGGAGTGCCTTCACCTCAGCCCGCACGCCCACGACGGCGTGCGCTAGTCTGCACCGGCGTGCACCAGTGTGCGTGCGCCAGCGTGCGCGAGCAAGCCCACGACCAAACCCGGCTATTTCCGATATCGAGTCCGCGTGACTTGTGATGCAAGTCTCGAGAGCCTGCTGGACCTATCCCAAGCCCCACATTTGGGTGGGTGAAAGACGAGATAAGAGATAAGTTATAGGGAAACGTGAAACGTCTCTTCCTAGACAAACCTGTCGGGACAGGCAGCTGATTGAGCCGGCTTGTACAGCTGTGGTGCAACCAAGCACTTGGGGGTGGGGGTGGGGGGTGCACAAACAGTTTGAAGGGGTGGGTGCTCCAGCGGCAGCGGGTGCTTGTCGCCTGCTTACCTTGGACACGTCCGGGAGGCGGTCACTCAGCCCCAGGCCCCTGAGCAAATCCTGGCCCAGGAGCGCTTCCTGCGTTTCCAGGGGCTCCAGGGGCGCCGTATCCTGCAGGGTATCCATATCCGCGTCCAGGCCGTATCCTGCCCGGGCCAGGGCGAGGTCCACCACGAGGAGCAGCAAAGGCAGGCAGCCCATCACACGACTGACTGCCTTGCGATTCACTTTCACTTCACTTTTTGTGTTTTCACCGAGAGTCACCACCTATCCGCCCTCGACTACCACCACCACCTGTCCGATGCTGTCGATGCTGCTGCCGATGGCACAGCAGTACGCGACTCATGTCGCCCTTCGCGTCACGGAGGCAAGCGCGGAGTGGCCGCGCTCGGACCGCGCGCCGCTTTATACGGCGCGGCCCGGCTCGGCTCGGCGCGGCACCGCCGGCCACGGCCCGGCTGGGCGCCGCGGGGGGGACGAGCCGAGCGGGGCCCACCGTGTCAACACAGCCCCCAGCAGGCACAGGGGCGCTCAGGGGCGGCCCATGAAATCTGGGCACAGAGGGGAGGGAGGACGCTGTCGCAGCAAGAGCATAGATACGCAAATTTCATTTTGGGGAAAAAAACGGAAAAAAAATTATCAACATATTAAAAATTGTTCACATTCACAAAAATAATACTTTTATTCATGAGGACAGATTGGCGGGGCCGGACACCTGCAAAGCCATGAAAGCTGCGCACGAAGGGGAGGGAAAACTTTCGCAGCAGGAGGGAAAATGCGCAAATTTAACTGAAAAACACCAAAATTTGTAATTGAATTATTCATCAAATTGCAAAACTAAAATTCTTTTGAGTGTACAAATGTTGTTTGATGTGGGACTGATAATTTCCCATGCCGGGTTATTTGCCGGTCACAGTCTTATACTGACCAATTTATTAAAATAATCCACAACAATCTGCAACGACTTTAACATGCTGTTAATTGTTAAAAAATACAGTTCTAAATTGTGATGTGAAATATTATACTCCATCTTGGTTCGTGGTTACAAAAGTACAGTCTAGACTAGACCAACCTCATGTACAGTAATTGTACGAAACATGCTGTTTCAGTCGAGTTGAACACGTCTCTTAGTCTTCTCGCTGGAGAGAATCCTCCCTAGATGCCGGTTTCTCGTCAACCTCTGACACCTCTTTTGTAATCGTAATTAATAATTCAAATCATGCGCGCCCTCGTACCTGACCACCGGACTTCCCCGATCTGCCCTATTTAAAGTCGACGTTATCTGAAGAGAGTCCGTCGACCTGGGCGTCTCCCCCCCCCTCCACGATGCATTGTAATATGGTCTTGTTTTGGCGGACCGCCCTGCCTAAAGCCCCGTCCCGCGCCACCCAGTGTGAACGACCGAAACCACCGCACAGGAAACTGGGGAAATGATTCAGCGCCCGATGCACCAGTAAATGAGTATGTTGAGAATGAGAGAACGGCGTAGCCACAATGTGGTCATCCTCTTTGTAAGTTGCTGCACCTAACAGCGTAACAATAAGATCGGGATCGGACAAAATTTTCGACTTGCTTGTTTAAGCTACAAGTCAATAAGGCAGTACTGTTTTACAAGTCACAGCTAATGGCACTGGATTACAGGGGTTTTCTCTGGAATACATTATTGGCAGTACAGTGCTTGAGGGGGCCACCACTAACTTAATCCAGTGGACAGATGGAAGTGTAATCCCTATGTATAGTTCCTGTATGTAATCCTTGTAATACTTAACCAAATTTTAAAAAATTGTTACTAAATTTCACCTAATTATCGAAACTTAATGGTTTTAGCCCCAAAAACTCAACAAAATTTATGTGTAGTCCCTTAAGATGCACGCGTGTAATCCCTGCATAATTACGTAATCCTGGGTCCTAAATCAAAGTGGTGCCCCCCTCGACAGTGCTGCTACTCGCGATAACGCCCCATCTAACAATTACGTAAGGTTTAATAGATCAACCAAATTCAGTGATGTATTGACGTATGACAAATGACCTTAAAAGAGCAATTACTGTAAGCAGTCGCGCAGTCGGGTTTGTCTATCGAATTTTACAACAGCGCCTTAGGGTCCCGTGCGAATGAGCATTCACGCGTGTAGTCCCTGTAATTACGTAATCCTGTGTCCTAAATCGAAGTGGTGCATTCCCTCGACAGTCTGCTAGTCGCGATAACGCCCCATCTAAAAATTACATAATAAGGTTCACTGTAAGTTCCTTACGAACAACTGCTCTTCGTGACGTACAAAGGATTTAAGGCATTTGTAATACAAACAAATTGTTTTTATTACGAACCGGCTTTTCGTATTACGAACTGGGGCTGTTCGTAATACGAAGAAAAATCGTTTGTAATATGGCTGCTTCGGATCCTTTGTACTTACAAACTCAATTCTTCGTAATACGAACGCTGCTGTTTGTAAGGAACTAAGAGTGTTTACACAGTCAACAATTTCTTTGTTAATTTACAATATTTTATGCAATTAACGCATAAAAGCAAAGGATGTAGTAACTTTACGATCAGTATCGTAACTTGTTGTTGCTCGGCGCAGAGTACCATGTGTGCGTCGATGCATGATATAATTTTGTAATTTCACAATTTCGAGTCGTAACTTTACAACATTACTGAAGGAAAAATTTTCCGTAAAAAAATAGATTAACCAATTTCAGTGACGTATTATTATATCCCCAAAATAAAATATCTCTTTCGCTCAAGAAGGGGACATTATAACAAATGACCTGAAAGAAGAATTTACTGTAAGCAGTCGCGCAGTCGGGTTTGTCTATCGAATTTTACCACAGCGCCTGAGGGTCCCATGCGAATGGGCAAACCGGCTGCACTCCTAGATTGGGCTAGTAAACCCATTCGATCTAATGGAGCAAAACGGCCAAGCTGTATTTAGATTCATAACATCGCTCTACCAGGACGACAAACGACAAACCTCACCCTTTCGATTTTCTGTCCTGCTGTTGAATTTCAATTGAAAAAAAAAATCCTTATACATTTCCTGGCGGAAATCTAGCTCTTCCTTAAAGAGTTTTCAGGACAAGCCAGCTCTTGTGAAGCTGTCTGCTAAAAGTGCCACCAACTAATAATTGCGTGAATACCCGCAATATATTTAACACTCTTACACTCCGTGCGGTTCTGCGGTGCTTTGCCATGTGTGGACTTCCCGGCTAGTTGGATTAAGTAGTGGCGGTCTTTGGTGGGTCGTTTGTCCGAGCTCGCCCCGCGTGGCGAGGCAAGGCTAGGCGATATTGCGCTAGATTGCGTGTGCCTCACTACAACACTGTTCCCCGCTCTGCGTCTCCCTCAATGGGTCCCCTCACCCGACCCGCCTCCCGCTCTTCGCACCTTCCTCCTCGCCCCCCCCCCCCCCCCCCCCCCCCCCCCCCCGCCCTCTTCCGACACTACTCGGTAGAATAAGCCCGTTGTGCGGCGAGGGGCAGCCGCAGGACGCCCGACGACCTGGAGGTGGGCAGCCACAACAAACGGTGGTCCGGCGGGTGGCGTACCACCGAGGGGTGGGCGACTTGAATTTTTCGTGTACACAGGAGTACGGAGTACACGAAGTACAGTCGGAGAACACTGAGTATTGCCGATCGGAGCGCGCAGAGTACAACCAGAGTACACCTAGAGTACACCGGAGTGCAGTCGGAGTACGCGGAAAATTTGCGACAAAAACAGCCGAAGTGCACGGAGTACAGTCGGAGTACAATCGGAGAACACCTGGAGTACATTTTGGCCTGTACACAGGAGCCGCCCAGTCGTCCACCCCTCGCGTACCACCCTGCCATGGCTCGGGCGCTAGGCTCTTTGGGTTGCCCACTTAGGGACCAAGTCAACCACGCACGTGCGGAGGCGAGCGCAGAGTTTTCGCGCAATGTTGCGCTCACTGGGAGCGGGGAGAACGCCCGACGGGTAGGCCCGTCTGTCACACACGGGTGCCGCGCGGGGTTGCCTACCCACCGCCTGGAGCGCCCGACGGGTAG